GCTCTTTCTTCTTAGTTGGTTTTATTTTCTTTTTTTATCTTCATCTTTATGTCTAAGTCTATTAGATCTTTGGTTGTTTATGAAATACAGGGATTGATCTGAAGTTCTATCTTCATTCTATAGGTATCAGTTGTTCTGTTTTGCTATTTGCTAGAACAACTTCTTCTTCAAAGCTATTGCTTTAGAGAACAAACCAAGATTGCTTGTTTTTATGCTAGCTTAGGAAACATGATCTTGAAGTTGCTGCATTTGAAAGTAGTTTGTTTAGTTTTGCCAAGTTTTCTTTCATCAAACTTGCAGTTTTCTTTATACTGCTAGGTTTTTTCTCTTCTTTTATCTATCTTATTGTGGCCCTAGGACTGGCCTGAACTTTTGTTAAAACTTTCTTATTATAGTTTGGGTGGGTGGTTGTATTGTAGCTATAAAGCAATCTTCATGGGTTCATTCTTTTTTATTTATTTCAGGAGTTGGTAATTGTGTTTACTGTATTATAATGTATAGAAAAAAGTATTTTGTGCTTATAATATTTAATATAGTATACATAACTAATTTAACAAAGGGTATTAAAAAAAGTACCTATACAATAATATGATTCTTACAAGGCAAGAGTACAATAATCTTTTAAAAAGCATTATTTCAATCTTTAAATACAAGTTTTTTTTTTTTGACTGGCAAAGTTATACCATATAGTTTTCATTTAATTATTAATATTTCTTTATATACTCAAATTTAATTGCAAGAAAATATATTTATTGTATAATAAAAAAAAAACTAATGACTCAATTTCTTATGAACCCTGTGACTTGCTTTAGTTTACCTTAAAGGTAAATGTTAGCATGTCATGACCCCACTAACACTAATATTTATATAGAAGAGAGAGTTAATGCTAAAACTGTTTTTAGTATATTTCTCATGTTATAGTTTGTTAGCTTTAGGTAAAATGTTCTATAGTCTTTTGTTTTCTTTTTTTGTCCTGTGCTGTTTTTTTTATCTAAAGGTTTAAAGTTATATTTTGTTTATTCTCACTTTATTTTCCTGAATATGCCTTGTGTTTTTTTCCATTCTATACCAACTCATATCCTAGCTTCCAAATTTTTTTTTTTCTTGCCATAGTTGTTCTATTGCCTTCTTTATTGCTGTTTGATTTTCTTTTTATCCCCTATAATTTTTCCTGCTATTAGAATTATTTTATAAGTAATAATTTCTCTGACTATGTCAGTAAACTTTATAGTTTCTCAGTTTTCTACTCTTGTATCTGTTTTTATAAACTATTCCCACCTGCTTTAAATAAACTGTGACTGTTTGTTATCATTGGCTCTTACTATACTGTACATTTATATACCAAGAGTATTGTTAAATTTTTGGATAACCTTGTTCTGTTTGATTCATAAGTGAAGTAATACAGATCTATTTCTTCTTGTCTTTCACAAATTATGCATGCTGCTGACTTGTATATTTGTGGTTTTCATGTGCTCATATTTGTTAGTATAGTAGGTTCATTGAATCATGTTTTCTATTGGAATGTTTAGTCTTTGTGATTTTCTTGGATAGTTTGAAGGAATGTAATTTTGGATGGCATCAAATTCTGTATAATTATGTTCCAATTTATTTCCTTAGATTTTTGTTCTGTAAGTCATATTTGATTCCATTATAGAGTCCATCTCTTGCTAATCCATTTGGTCTTTAGAAGAGTTTTGCCTAATATTTTAAAAGACTGGTCTATAAAGGACTGGTTTATCTTAGTATTATATTGTTACTTGTGAACTGAAACTTCTTGATCTTTATGATATTCTTGAATTTGTCCACAAATATGGTGGCTACTAGTTTATATGCCTGTTTATTTCCTTTGTTCCTGAGTAGCCTTTGATTTTGGTCTACTGAATATTAATTTGTTGTGCTATAATGATTTCTTGAATTATATTGACCAAGAATTTATTTAGCCTTTTTAGCTTCTATTTCTTAGTCTGATTCTTATATAATGTTTTGCTTATTGCATTGCTTGTATCTTGGCTGTTCATAAAAATAGTAATCCTTTTATTGAGGCTGATTGTGCTGATTTCTGTGAGGATTGCTATCAGTTCTATCCTATTAGGGAAAGAAATATCCTGGGTTTCTGCTTAAAAAGTCATTATTTCTCTACCTGACTTGATCTAGGCCACCCATTCTATTCCCATTCTACTTCTGGCACTAAACAAGACAAAAGGGATTTTGAGGATATCTAGAACTAAGGTTCAAGAGAATTGGAGAGGAAGGACTATGGTAATAGGGATATGAGGTATGGAGTCTTTGTCATCCAGTGAATTTGTCCTTACTTACCTATTTTAATAACCTCTCTAGAAAAGAAATCTTGATCTTTTTGATATATATCTTTACTGGTCTTAATAAATGTTGTTTTTGGAGTACTATTATTGTGAAAAAGATGATCTATTATGCCACTTTACATTAGTATTTCCTGCTAGTAATTATTTCAAAAGATCTCTTAGTCTTCTAATATTTTAGATTTGTATAAGTAGGTAGTACACTTTTAAGGCTTTTCCTTCATTCTATATCTTCTTAAGCATCTTATTCTTCTTATTTTCCTGAGTAGCAGTAGATAGTTTTCTTGAAAATTATTCTCCTTCTTAATATTCAATGATATGTTAAGAGATAGTATCTGATAAGAAACATGAGTGTGACCAATGGAAGCTTGTTTTTTTTTTTTTACAGATATGTTTTTTGCTAGCCAATTATTCTTGAAAACCTTTGTACTACTCAAAATTTAGGATCAAATTACAGTAGACAAAATTCTATATAAAAAATTGAGAAAGAGCACTCTTAGAGCAAGTACATTATAAGAGAGTAGGTGGTTGCCTTTAAAATAAGTCTCTCATTACTATAAAAACTCTGTATTGTTTTTCTAATAGGTGGATAAGTAACAGTACTTCAGTTTTTCTTCCTTTCAGAATTTTCTTGCCATTGGTAAGAAAGGTGTATTCATGACTTTGATTACTGAAAATCAAGTTTTTGTTTGAAGAAAATGTTTACAAAAGAAAGAGGAAGAAAAAGATGACTCTTGAAGTATTATTTCAAGTTGGTTTAAGGAAAGTGGTAAGACTTTATTAGTCAAGAAATATATAAAATTTCTTGTAAACATCTTTTTTGTGAGTGGTCAGAGGATCAATGGAATGAGTTTTTTATTTGGTAAATTCTTTAATAATGATAAAAACAAAATCAACTTTAAATTTTAAAAATCGTGATGATCAACATATGGTCAAATACTTTTGGCAGGTGAGTGTACGTCAAAATACTATTGAATGGGTTCGTATAGTCAGTACCCTCAAGCTGTACTACCTGTAACTGTATCAGAACAACCCTTTCTAATGAAACTTTTTGATATGACTCAGAATTCAAGGAAACTTGAAACAGAATATTTAATAGCTTCTTATTTACAAAGAAACATAAATTAACCTTGATGGTAAAAAAAGTTTTTACAAGGTTTAAATAAACAAATGTTTTTTTATTGGGAGATTTGAGATCCGGTAAATAAACTTTTGATTGTTTTCTGGCTCATAAACTTTGCGAAACTATAGATTCTATGGCAGAGGCGAACGCATTCCATTATTTATTTCGTTATCTAGTATTAATAACCTTGAAGCAGATTTAAATTAAAAGCGCTTGACAAAAAATTTCTCAATAGAACAAATCAAAGGTTTAAATAATAACCGAAAGTTTGTTTTTATTTTGGATGGATAAGATAAAATAAACATGAAAATAAATTTGGATAATGGAATGCCCACGTTATTATTAGCTGTCGAACAGAGGATTGGTTTAATTCTCACTTGAATCAAGATAGACCGGAGCTACCAGCCACAGGATTTCAAGAATTAGTGGTGCACCTTTTAAATGGACAAAATCTAAATATATATTGAGAAATACTGTATGTTGTGTTAGCTCAAAAGAACGAGCTTGGGATGTTCATAATTATCTTGGGCTATCGAACTCCTAACCTAAAAGAACTCTTAAGTAATCCGGTTATTTTAAGGGATCATTAGATATCTTGCCAATTTTAGTTGAAAAACAAAACAACTTCTCCTGGATTACTTGTCTGAATTTGTGCGAAAATTTTAAAAGGCAATAGTTAAGGTGGTTCGAGCTTCTGCTAGAGAAAATTTCCGCACAACTTAGTCCTGAAAAATCTGAAGTATTTGAAATTAAAGGAAAAAGGTTTTATTGATAAAGTCATAAAATATATTAAGAATTTTGCAGTTAAAATGATGAAGAGTTAAAGAGGAAAATATATGGATTGTTATAATCCCTTCAAGGATGGAGGCACCTGGAATAAAGAATTTTTCTATCTCCAAGAGAGCTGCGTGAAGCATCTTCTTTAAAAAAACAATTTTAACGAAGTTTTTTTTAAAAATAAATCAATATTCAATATATATATATATATATATATATATATATATTGCATAAATATTTGTTGGAATACGTATTGTATTCAAACGACGATTTGTTAGAAACATTGGTAGACGTGATATTAAATATATTAAAGCTCGTGAGGGAACCACCAATAATTAAATTATTGGCCGAACTCAAATGAAGATGAAAGAGTTAATTCAATTCTAGGAAACAATATCAAAAAGGTTTTAAACTGGATAGCAATTCATCAAATTCATCAAAATTTCAACTACATAAATCTGGAATGGTCTTAACGAACCAAATTCAAGTAATTATATTTTTTTTTGTATTTTAAGGGTATTATAATTATGTAATTAGATCTTTCATATAGTTATTGTGAAGTATAGTTCGGTTAATTTCTAAACTAATATTAGACAATATATTATTATTTTTTGTGAAAATATTTCATTTTGCATTAAGTAGAGGATTAAATAATATGTTAAAATATCATATTAGTTATTGATTTTGGAAATATAAATAATGTCTCTATTTTACACTTGTAAAATTTTAGTATGCATATTTTTAGATATTAGGCACATTCACCGTTTTGACAAGTTTGCCCATTAGCGCACTGCAAAAGTGATGAAAATTAAGTTAGAGAGAAATTTATCAAAAAGATTAAAAACGCAAATACCCACAACGACACCGCAACCTCCGCAGTTTTGATCGTCAGAATTGGTGTCAACGCAAGTAGTGTTACAAAGTGTTTCGCTGTCGGGGCAGGTGCAATTTTCATTTTGACAAGTTTGCCCTTCACCGCACTGCAAAGGTGATGAAAATTAAATTAAGAGAGAGAAATTTATCAAAAAGATTAAAAACGCAAGTACCCACAACGACACCGCAACCTCCACAATTTTGTTCGTCAGAACTGGTGTCTACGCAGATAGTATTACAAAGTATTTGGCTGTCGAGACAGGTGCAATTTCCATTTTGACAAGTTTGTCCATCACCGCACTGCGAAAGTGATGAAAATTAAGTTAAAAAGAGAGAAATTTATCAAAAATAATAAAAACGCAAATACCCACAACGACACCACAACCTCCGCAGTTTTGATCGTCAGAATTGGTGTCTACGCAGGTAGTATTACAAAGTATTTGGCTGTCGGGACAGGTGCAATTTCCATTTTGACAAGTTTGCCCATCACCGCACTGCAAAAGTGATGAAAATTAAGTTAATGAAAGAAATTTATCAATAAAATTAAAAACGCAAATACCCACAACGACACCGCAACCTCCGCAGTTTTGTTCGTCAGAACTGGTGTCTACGCAGATAGTATTACAAAGTATTTGGCTGTCGGGACAGGTGCAATTTCCATTTTGACAAGTTTGTCCATCATCGCACTCCAAAAGTGATGAAAATTAAGTTAAAAAGAGAGAAATTTATCAAAAATAATAAAAGCGAAAATACCCACAACGACACCACAACCTCCGCAGTTTTGATCGTCAGAATTGGTGTCTACGCAGGTAGAATTACAAAGTATTTGGCTGTCGGGACAGGTGCAATTTCCATTTTGACAAGTTTGCCCATCACCGCACTGAAAAAGTGATGAAAATTAAGTTAAAGAAAGAAATTTATTAAAAATATTAAAAACTCAAATACCCACAGCGACACCGCAACCTCCACAATTTTGGTCGTCAGAATTGGTATCAACGCAGGTAGTGTCACAAAGTGTTTGGCTGTCGGGACAGGTGCAACTTCCATTTTGACAAGTTTGCCCATCACCGCACTGCAAAGTGATGAAAATTAAGTTAAAGAAATTTATCAAAAAGATTAAAAACGTAAATACCCACAGCAACACCGCAACCTCCGCAATTTTGGTCGTCAGAATTGGTATCAACGCAGGTAGTGTCACAAAGTGTTTCGCTATGGGGACATTTGCATTTTCCGTTTTGACAAGTTTGCCCATCAACGCACTGCAAAAGTGATAAAAATAATTTAAAGAGGGAAAATTGTCAAAAAGATTAAAAACGCAAATACCAACAGCGTGACTGCAACCTCCACAGTTTTTTTCGTCAGAATTTGTGTCAACGCAGGTAGAGCCACAAAGTGTTTCGCTATTAGGGCATTTGCATTTTTTATTTTGACAAGTTAGTCCATCAGCGCACTGCAAAAGTGATGAAAATAAGTTAAAATGAGAGAAATTTGTCAAAAGATTAAAAACGCAAATACCCACAACGTGACCGCAACTCCCACAATTTTTGCTGTCAAAATTAGTGTCAATGCAGGTAGAACCACACAGTGTTTCGCCATGGGGACAGGTGCATTCTTCATTGTGACAAATTAGCCCAAGAACGCACTACCAAATGATTGCGAGAATTTAGGAAAAGTATATATATTAAAAAAAAAAAAAAAAAAAAAAAAAAAAAAAAAAAAAAAAAAAAAAAAAAAAAAAAAAAAAAAAAAAAAAAAAA